TGACTCGAAAGATGATCGAACCCACGACCTTCCACATCTGAGGCGGATGCTCTAACCACTAGGCCACTGGAGCAGTCTTTGATACAGATAACAGAGATTGTGTGATGAATTATACAATACAGCAATTTACATGGACTGCAAAGTGACAAAATAAAAGAATATTAGTCTTATATACTCTTGCTGTGTTAGATGCACCAATAGCATCTGTGGCTTGTGAGCAACGTTTCTCATTAATTAATGGTATCATGCTAATAGGCCAGGGGTCTCAAACTCAACCCATTCTGAGGGTCTGCATGACAGAATTTTTGATGGCACAAGGGTCGCATCACCTTTGTTCTCTCTCATGACACCAAACATTTTGTGAGCCATAGGATACGGCTTGGCAGGCTGCATGCGGTCCATGTGTTTGAGATCCCTGCAATAGGCTGTGGATGTTTAAAACAAGATACTGTAACAAACTTAAAAACTCAAGAATCATAATTGTAAACTTGCTGTATGTAAGTTTTAGTTTTTATAAAAAGCGATGTTAATGTAAGATTCTGTGCTGTGTTTCTTAATGACAAAACCAAAAAATGTATATGGAAGATGTCATTTGTTTTTTCTTCCTTTATTTTGGCAATTTATTTGAAATGGAATAAGCTACATAAATTAATACATGAAAGAAAACACAATCTCTTACTTTGTTTCTTCTAGTTGGTCAAAATTTAAAGACTGTCAAGGAAAGGTCACTGAGATCTGTCATAGTTCTAACATCAGAAACTGTCATAATTATCATAGTCCTTATTTGCCTTAATCTTTCATTCATTTACTATAAAATTAAATATTTAAAATGAATATTATTAATCTGATAATTATTGGTAACCCAATAACACACACACAATGTTCTGAATAAATGCAAGGAAAACATAATTATTGGGGCTCATATTTTTAAGGCTAGGACTCAAACTTTTGGCAAAGAATTACTCCTGGATTGCAACTTTTAAAATCCTATGGAGAACCCAGTTTACACTCACACACATACATCCATTAATGAATAAAAGGAAATGCCTATGTCTGTTTTACATCAATAATGTCTGCAAAGTTTCTGGGAAAACCGACACATGCATGCAATAACTCATATTATATAGCACATGCATTTAACAGAAAGGAGAAGAATGGGGCTCTAGAAAACTCAACATATGAAGGAATGATTATCCCTTGTCAATACTGACTGCCACCAAAGGTCAATAAAAACTGCCACCTGGTGTCAGTAATGACTGCCAAGTATGAATACTGTTCATGAGCTGTTGCACATAAAAGTGTTGCAGGACCGATGGACAAAGCTAACTAAATATGCTTCTGTCATATCCATAGAAATGGCACATAAAAGAGTTATACAGAATATAAAGAAATAAGAAAGAACAAGACCCAAAATATAGAGCTTCTTTCAAAGGTGAGTGATCGAGCACATTGGTCAGCATAATACAACATGTCACATGGCAGCTGCTCTAAAACTAATTTAATAAGGAGTGATTTAGAGTCAACTAGATTTCATTTTTAGTGACCATAAGTCCAAATCCAAACATAATTTGAAATAAAGTTCTATAATGCTATCATCTACATGTATATTATAATATTCCTTATTCTACATATATCTATAATATTCTAATATGCCTATCAAATTCATTTGTTAACCTCATGTAGTTGTTGTTTACTGGTGCTAAAATGGTTTTATTAAAGAAAATAGTTGTTTAAATGTCAAACTTCAAAACTGTTATAGGGGGGTGCTGTACATATATTATGAACTTCTGATAGTGGTAAGTTGAATTTTCCAAAAATGTCCAAGTCCCTGAAATCAAACACTGTGAAAATAGCTGTAATGACCTGAAAATCTCATTGGGTCATAATATGAATACACTTTTCTACCTCGTGTTTTTTTTCATATCATAATAAGGTTTTCACTGAGAAATTGTTTTCATAAAGGTTAAAAGTGTTCAAGCGTGTAAATAATCCCCAACTGAGATCAATGTCTACCAAACATTACAAAATTCCCAAACCAAAAAAGGAATTATTTAAAAAAAGTTTCCAATACTCTGAACTTTGCTCTGGAATAGTATTCCAGTTGAGATCAGAAATGCCCACTCTTATTTCCTTTTTCCAAACCCAGCATATACAGTGGCTTCAGAGATGCAGCAAAGATAAGCAAATTCCTTTGAATGAGGGCCTTAAAGTAGATTAGTTCTTAGCTAATTGAGTTACCCTCTTTAAATAAAGTCATAATAATAATAAAAAAAAAAAAAAGAAAAAAAGCTTACAAAATTGGAGTAATGTTCAGAAATATCAAATCAGGTCACCTACATATGCATACAAATATGTGCCAAATTTTTTTGATAAACTTGTAGTGGTTTTTGTTCTGTCTGACTAAAGGGATCGGTGGAGGGCAGGACCAGATCAAAAGGCCTTTTTTTTGCTCATCGAACTTCTCCATTGTGGAAATTAAGAAAAGAAATACATGTATATTGTTTGACTATACAGAAGAATGTGATGATAAACAATGTAGCATCACATGCCAATATAGGGAAAGGGATATCTGTAATATAACACAATCAGCTGAATCATTAAGAAACTTCATTTTCTTTAAAAAAGCATTTATTAATGTAAGAGAGTTAACACTGTTGTGTTAATTTTCCATGACCCAAGCAGACATGTCTAATGTGCTTGCCTGCAAATTGTAGCCTTCTGTTTTTCATGTTTTTATTTTCTGAAAATATGGTGAAGCCCTGTGGTTAATATGGAAGCCACATAGTTGCTAGGAAAGCTAACCCCCCAAAAATGTTGGTACTATATTCGTCAAAGAACATTCTTAACAAGTCTGAATCAAAACTGCTCTGGAAATGTTTTGGATTTTCTTTGACCTAGGCTTGTTGATGTAGAAGCAACATTCCTAGGAACATCATTCAACATGTATTTGATAACACATGCATTGAAAAAAATTCTAATAGGTGTAACAATATATGGGGCAAGTAGTTATTAAGGATAAGTCTAATATGGCATAGGTTTAAATACTACTGAAGGATGGACAGACAGGTCATCTCATAGCATCACATGACCTTTACCAAATAAGGTAAAATTGAAATTAGAAATAATGATGTGGAATCATTTGCTGTTGGTTTTTACAAGAAAGCAAATGATTTATTGTTCAACAATCAATTTCACATGAACAGCATAATTTTTAATTGGACAATCTTGCGATTTTGTGGAGAAAACTGAAAATTCAGTTTGGATGTTAAGGAAAATTACTTTTTTTATTGTAACAAATCTCTACCCTTGCAATTCCAGGGTAACTGCATCTCCCTATGTATTATTTTAACAGTTAAGTGCTACTGTGATTGGGTAACAAGCAATGCAAAGATTTGTACATATTTTATTTTCATATTTATCTTCCGTATCACACAACAGTTATGTCATTGATTGAATACTTGTGTAATTTCAAGTTGACAATAACATTTAAAATACATAAATATATTAGTCATTGAAAGACTATGCATAACTGAATAGTTATATTTTTAACATATTATATAAGTCTTGGGGTCAACACTCAAGCTGTTGCCATATTTTCTTTGAAGTCTAAACAATTTTTTTTCTTCACTTTTCCAACTGTATACATATTCATGTTTTATTATCAACAAATCTGTTCATCCCATGACTTGACAAACTCTCCCTCAGGAATCAATGACCAGTTTGGAGAGTGTGTGTCAGATGCCAGCCAGTTGAAGTCATCAATATCGTTCCAGCTATTCTTACTCCTACTTAGTCCTGATATTTTATAATGATCATTTAAACCAGGGTATTTCCAGTTAAATGGCCCAAATTTTACACCAGAGCAGTCCTCAATGATTGCTCGACTTGTAACATGGATGTAAAACTGGGAGTTTTTAGTTGTGTGGATGCGTAATTGCTGGCATGGCAAAACAAAGACACAGTCCTGACATTCTGTTATGAAGATGGAGCTAGATACTGGACCAGTGAAAACCCTGCAGTTGTTTAGTTTGTTCATGTGCACAGCTGAAGGTGCTCCATAAAGTTTAACTGTACAGTTTTCTAGTCTCGCCAAAGCCACATCTCGGTTGTTTATTTCGTCTTCAAACTTTTCAAGAGACTGATCCTTTAGATCCTCATATTTGCAGTTTGTCAGGGCAACTTCTACCTTCTCTCGACACACGTTTTCTGGTAACGTTTTAGCAATCTGTTTCTCAGAGCTAGCTACTTTCTTCTTTGATTTAAATGCAAACCTCTTTTTTGGAAACAAATCATCCCTCTTTTCTTGAATCTGTGTCTGAAGTTTAGAAATTGCTTCCTGTGCAAGCCGTACTTCATATGGTGGCAAAAACATGGTGGACTCCGCTAAAAATTTTTGCATTTTCTGAAGTGATAAAGAAAGTAAATCAAATCTATCTATAAGATTTGCCTTGTCTACTCTATCACACTCGGACAGACCAGCTTCGATTGCCACTTTCTCCTTGTTGAATTCGGTGTTGAAAAAATTGGTGCTTTCTTGTAAAGCAGCAGTTTCAGATTTCTGTTCTTTCTTTTTCTGTATTTCAGATAGACGTTCATCTTCTCTTTTTTGAAGCCTCTCCGACACAATATTCCATTTTCCCTCAACATCAAGAGCTGTTGATGTTGCCGGAGCAGAGAGCTTCGTGCCGGAATCCATGGTGGTCTTTGATGCCGCTTATGCCAAATCATGAACAAATCACACTATCTTGTATTCGGATTGTTTTGAAATATACGCTGTTCTTCCAGCTGAAATATACGCTGTTCTTCCAGCTACATAGTCTATTTTGTATAACTATTGTTTAATTAATTACTCTGTATCATGTTCGTTTTGACATTATATTTGTAATGTTTTAAGCGGTAATGCATTAGGCATGTAAGGAATTGGGATAGTTTCGCATATAATATATGCTTCTTCAGGCACAAAATGTTTTGAAATAAACGGATGAAATTGTATATCTTTTATAACACTATAAGTGTATGTATGACTGCTTGTCTCTATTATATTTTATTATTTATTATTTTACTGATTTAGGCATGT